TCCTCTGGCCTATGACAGGTTCTCGCTCTTTCCTTGTCTTTTATGGTCTTGACACTTTCAAAGAGTAGTGGTCAGAGATCTTGTAGAATATCCTCAATGTTGGCTAGTCTCCATTTTCTCATGATTAGACCAAGATTATAGGTTTGGGGGTAGTGATGTGCTCTTCCTGTCACACCATAGCAGGGGCCCGTAATATGGCAACCATTTGTGATGTTGACCTTGATCACTTGACTTTCTCACTTTCTTCTTTGTACTTTTCCATATTGCTTAACTCCTATAATAAGTATGTGAAGTCAGTGAGTCTGGAAGTGCTTCATAAACCGAAGAACTCCAAAAATGTGAGGGTTAAATTTTTTATTTGAAAGAGAGAATTGATGTCCAAGTCTTGATTGGGAGAGGGAGATGGAGATAAGTATAGCTGCACCATCAATGTTTAATTGGTCTGGAGGCCAGCCAGAGTGGCAGGAAAAGATAGAGATGACTTTGGGATTTATGTAACTGCTGGCAGAGCAAAGAATTAGAGCCGCATCCATATAGTTTTCATATAATATATTTCCCTTCCCCCGTATCCCTGGGTAAGAGTAGAAGCCACCCCACCAGCCTAGTCAGAAATGACCTAATGAAAGAGGGCTGATTCTGTTGGGAAAGCGAGTGGATGTGGGAACTAACACCAACCAAGCACCATCTCTGCTTACACCTCACTCGTGTCACGTTCACAGTGCTGCCAACTAAGTATGATGATCATCTCCACAACCTACTTGGGCAAATTCAGATTCACAGAAGTGAAGGGACTTTGCCCAAAGCCACACTACCAGTTAACCATCAAATATCTCTCAGGCAATGTATTGGGTGGGCACGGGAAAGCCACGGTGTGAAATTAGATCTCTGTGACACCAAACCTACACTCTCTCTCCTCCATTTCACACCACCTCCTGCTTGGGAAGAACCGTGGTCAAGTATGGGAATTCTAATCACGGGGAAAGATGATGATGAGCTGTGGTGACTACCCACTATCCATAACGTTTTTCATCTTCCTAAGCTCTGTGTCTCCTCACTGATCAGAGAGTCACCTGGCATGAATTCTGGGTTCAGGATGCCACCACCCTTTGGATACCTTGGACAATTATCCTCTGCAATCCATTGGTACCAAAGGCCCAGGGTAGCTGGGACAGCCTTTCCCTAGGATGCGTCCAGCTAGGATGCAAAGAGAAACAAAGGTGAGAGGGGAAAAGGGAAAGGAGAGAGAGAGAGAGAGAGAGAATTGCATGGTTTTGGATTCCAGACTCTTCTTCCAATCAGCCCTAAGGCCAGCTCTAGTTTCGTTCCTCCTAAGAATAGATTTGAGCCAATGAAGAATCCTTTTTTTGTTTTAATGTTTTTTATTTATTTCTGAGAGAGAGAGAGAGAGACAGTGTGAGCAGGGGAGGGTCAGAGAGAGAGGGAGATACAGAATCTGAAGCAGGCTCTAGACTCTGAGCTAGCTGTCAGCACAGAGCCTGACACGGGGCTTAAACCCACAAACTGTGAGATAATGACCTGAGCCAAAGTCGGACTCTTAACAGACTGAGCCACCCAGGTGCCCCTGAAGAATCCTTTTTTTTTTATTGAAGCTGATTCAAGTTTAGTTTTTGCAACTTGAAACCAAGGTGTCCTGATGAGCACGTTCACCTTAATCTAGTTTCTACTCACTCCTACCATCATTGCGCCTGTGGCTTTTGCCTATCTGGACCCCCAGATATGTTTCACAAGTGGCTATGAATACAGGCTCTGGAGTCAAAAAGACTGAGGGTCAAATCCTAATTCTTGCACCTAATTCTTGTGGCCTTAGGCAAGGACTTTACTTCCCTGAGCTGGTTCAATCTGATAAAATGGAGTGATAATATTCCTGCAAGTAGTATTATAAGATTTATACAAGAATAATTCATGCAGAGTGCTTAGCACAAAACAAATTTAGCTTAGTGTTCAATAAACAGCAGCTATGATTATTAGCATTATTCAATTCTTCTTGCCAACTGGACACAACTTATTGATTACCCAGTTCCACGAGACACCTGGTGACCTAAGCCATTTTTTTCTCACCACATAATTCATATGCCACTAGTAGCTTATGGATAAGTGCCCCCAGGAGTAGGAGTCTACCTCAGCCCCTTAAGTGACAACTTAGGGCTGGCATTCCAACAAGCGTTTGGAATTGTATGGCTGACCCGTGTCCATTGGTATGCCAGCAAGTATTTAACAACTAGCGCTTCAAAATAAACAATAACAAAAAATGTGTTTTTTTGCCAGTTTCCATGGTGTAAGTACTCCCACCATGTCTGATTCCAGGCCATCAACGCAATGGCACTCAACAGAGTTGAGAAGAAAGTGTGCAGTTGACCCTCATGAGCTAGAGCTGGCCAGCTCTAGCATACCACTGTGCAAGGTGGAATTTCTCCAAGAACAGGGTAGGCAAAGAGAGAAAGGCAGGCAAAAAATATGGGTTCAGCTCAAGTCTAGCCACTGCCTAATTCCAAAGAGACTTGTCGCAGCCTGAGGCAAGGCGGTGGGGGACTTGTACATCCAGTTAGTTGGTCATTGGGTACAGGCTGACTTCCGGGGCACAAATTCGCAGGCATTTCCTGTCAAGGAAGTTCCATTGGCTGAGGCGAATTCTCAGAAGGGGGTAGCCATGAGCTGTGAGCAACCAACTCTCACGGCAGTTAGGAGATGAGGGCACCAGCCTGGTGAAGGGCACCCAGTGTCATTTACTATGTAGTGAAAACAATATTGATGATAACTTTTATGGTGAAGATGATGGAGATGGAAATACTACAAGTGGTAGATGTGGTGGTGCTGCTGCTGCTTCTGGCAACACTGGGGTTGGCTGGGTTGTTGGTGGCGGTATTGATGGCAGCTGGAGGTGATGGTGGTAACTGGGGGTCATGGTGATGGTGGAATTCTGAGGGTGACAACAAATATGACAAAGGTGCTGGTTATTGGAGGGACCAAGGATACCCAAATCCTTATTTCTTCAAAGTTGGTCTCTTTCTTTTATGCTTTGTATTTCTACAGTGCCCTGGGGAACAAAACTACTCAGAATTTCATCTTGTTGAGATTGGTGAATGAAAACATGACTGAGAAAGTCGAAATGCATTCATTTCACCAGTGCTGTCCTGCCGGGTGTGTGTTTTGTTTTAACAATGCACACATTCTCCAGGGCTGTGTTTTTATTCTGTTTGCCACTCTGTGTCATGGGTGATTCACTGGGAAATGTAGGGGCGTGGTGACTTTAGACTTCTTAACCCATCAAACCTATCAGCAGTGCATAACACGCCAACATTATGCCAGGAAGTCCTGGAGATTGCTAGAATGAATCTATCCTGCACTCAACGTGGGATTGTTGTTTTCAGTGAAAGAGCCTCGCTTGTGAGGACGAGGGCAGAGTGACTGAAGTGAGTAAGCAGGTCAGCGTGCTGGTGGGGAGTGTGTCAGGGGAAGAGTCTGCAGAGTGGACGTGCGTTTATCTGCCGCAAGCGTCTGTCCAGATTTCTCTTCCTTCTCCTCCCTCCCCGGAGGGAGGCAGTGAGGAAGCAGGGGTGCTCACTTTCCACTTCAAGCACCTATCACATTATATTTGCAACAAAATAGCTCCCTCCATAAGAGGTATTCTGGGGCAAATGCAGAGTTCATTCACTCATTCCATAAATATGTACTTAGCATCAGCTACAAGCCATGCACTCTGCTAGGTACTGGGGATAGAACATTTGGAGGGGGTGGGGGACAAAAAGCTTATGTTCTAGTAGATTTGAATGTGACTCATCCTCATTACACACAGATGAGGAAATTGAAACTTAAGAGGCTAATTGGTTTGGCCAAATGGCAGAGCTAAGATCTTAACTAAGGTCAGCCAGCTCCTCAAACCCATCCCCTTGACCAATTCTCTACTACCTGCAATGGACTTTTTTTTTTTTTTTTATTTTGCCACCCAACACCTCTTGCTATTCTTCTGGTACTTGAACCCTCTGGTAGCTTCCGGAAAACCACTTTTTTCTTTTTCTTTTTCAGATTTTTAAAAAATTAATTTATGTAAGCAATAAATTTATTTATACCTGCCATGGGGCTTGAACTCACAACCTCAAGGTCAAGAGCTGCACACTCCACCAACTGAGGCAGTCAGGAGCCCCAGGAAAACCACTTTTTTCAACACCATCTAGAAAGATGGTCAGTCAAGGCATCCTGCCCTCTGGAATTGTGGGGTGGGTGCATTATCCAAGCGATGTCATCCCAGTGCTGGGTTCTGCCATCCAGACCACCTGGAACTATGGTTCCCTTTGTTCAAGTTGGTGTTTCAGCTTCGCCGGAAATTCTGAGAGTCATCCTGTGTTCTCCCCCCACACTATTTGTTTTCTCCAGCTACACAGAGTCCATTTCTGTTGCATGCAACCAAATACTCAGACTGACACATGGTCACTCCAGTCTCTGAGCCTCAGAGTGGACCTCAATCAAGTCTTGTCACCTGCTAACTAGGAGGTATAAGACTCACCTTGCAGGAGGTGGGAGGGAAGATCCTATTTCCCTGAGCCAGGCCTTGCCAGCATCCCTGTTTTCTAGCACCTTCTTCAGGCTCCCAGGAAAAGCGTCCCCATTCTTTGCTGGGGCTGCCAGACACGCTGAAGCTGCACACTCAGCAAAAGCCATGAAGGAGACAGAGCTATATTTGTGCTTCCCTGAGAACACACTCACGCAGCCTCCTGCGCTCTGGCTGGCCGAGGACAGTGTAATTAACAGACGCTTCTTCAGAGCATGGATTGAACAGGTGATGGCTCAGCAAGTTCAGAATCACAGCCATGGCCAATTTCTCTTCCCCCAGGTCTATTTTTGAGTCACCACAGGTGCTTATTAAGGCCACATGTCAGGCCTACAGGGCAGAGGAGAGACTCTTCTCAGAGAACTTGTCAGTTAGGGTTGTATGAACTTGACAGAACAGAAATCTGACCACGTAAAGCTTTATTTTTCTCATGTGACAAGGAGTCTAGGCAATCCAGGCTGCTAGAGAGGACTGATTACAAAGAAGTTTCTTCAGTCTCCCTGCTCTGCCATCCTTAGCAGGTGGCACTACCCTCATAGTCACAAGATGGCTGCTCCACTCCCAGAAACCTCACCTACATTCCAGGCAAGGATAAAAACAAAGGGAATAAGGAAAAGGCTTGTGCTTGCTGACTTCCCCCACCTGTTAGTGCGAAGAAGATAGATTCCCAAGAAGCCCCACCCAAATGTCCACTTACATCTCATTGGTCAGAACTGGGTCAGGGGACCACCTGTAGCTGCAAGGGAGTGTGGGCAGGTATTTTTAACTGGGCACATGTTACTCAAACAAAATTAGGATTCTGTTACGAAGTAAAAAGGAGAGACCAGACATTGGTTTGGCATCTAGTAGTGTCTGTCACAGAGGTGAGATGGGGAGTAGATGGTTGTGAGGAAAGTCTCCAAAGGGCTGAGTCAGAGGTTCTCAGAAACACAAGAGATGGACCAGGTTCCAGAGCCCTCAAGCGGGAAGCCAGAGAGAGCCACCAACGTCACTATGATGTACAGAGAAAACCGGGCACCACATAAACTTGTTCTGTAAGGACAGTGTTGACCTCCGAAATGTGGAAGGTACAGGTGCTTATCAAACAGTCCTGGTTTTAAGTCACAGCTCTGCCTGATACACAGTGACCTTGGGCAAGTCACTCTCAGTTTTCTCAACCATAAAATGGGGGTGATACCTTGCACAGTTTTTGTGTGGCTCCAATGAGACCATATGTATAAACTGCATTGTAGGCATGTGACACATGGGAGTTATTATTGATCTAATTCCCTCATTTTCCAAACAGTGAAAATGGAACCCAAAGAGGGGAGGCAAGATGACCTACGTCACACAGCCAGACAGAGGTGGTGCTGAGAGCGGGGTCCCGCCTTGGGACTCCCAACCTGGGGTGTGTTCCATTTCACCGTCGCCTCTACCTGTTAAAAAATTATTAACTTTCACCAAAGTGTAGAATTAGGCCTACGGAATGGAATAAAGTAACTGGTTCAGATTTTTTTTTAATTAAAAAAAATGAACAAAGTATGTTCAGATGCTTCAGATGCCAACAGCCAAGCAGAAATGGAACAGACATCCTGATACACCGCTTCCGGAGAGTTCTAGTATTCATTATTTCTATTGTGATCAGTATTTATTGAACACACTAACCACGGGTGACATAAAGCTGAAGTCCCTCCCCAATAGCCAGAGCTAACATTCAGTGGGCGCTGCATTAGCTTCCTACCGCGGCTAGAGCACATTAACATAAGCTCCCATACAGTCACTCATCTCTCTGTTCCTTTAGCTCATGTTCCACTGAGTTTTGACAGAGATTTCCTCGGACACCAGGAACTAAAAACCAAACAAACAAGGGGCGCCTTGGGTGGCTTGGTCAGTTAAGTGTCCGACTCTAGATTTAGGCTCAGGTCATGATCTCATAGTTAATGGGTTCGAGCCCTGTGTCGGGCTCCACACTGATAACACGGAACCTGCTTGGAATCCTCTCTCCTCTCTCTCTCTCTCTCTCTGTCCCTCCCTAGCTGGTGCTCTCTCTCTCTCTCTCTCAAAATAAATAAATAAACTTTAAAAACAAAACAAAACACACCTCTCAGAAGTGGTCGCCGCCACAGAGGAAGGGGGTGGGCACAATGGGTGGGAAGGGAACCGGGGAGTACAGGCTTCCAGTCATGGAATGAATAAGTCACAGGGATGAAAAGCACAGCATAGGGAACAGAGTCAATGGTATTGTAAGAGCGTTGCATGGGAGTAGATGGTAGCTACGCTGTGAGCACAGAATAATGTATAGAGAGGGTGAATCGCTACGTTGCACACCTGAAGCTAATACAACATCATATATCAACTATACTTGAATCTCTCTCTCTCTCCCTCTCTCTCTCTCTCACACACACACACACACATGCCCCACTCAGTATTTGCAGACTGCCTCTCTGCTGGGGTGTTCCTTCAACACTCAGCTGGGCTGTTCACAACTCTGCCTCAGACGGCACCCCTGTTTGCACTGAGCTGTTTTCAAGTTGCTTTTTCCTTCATTCCACAGTCACTTGGTTGCTATAAACCTTGACAGTTTTCCAGAGTTCTGACAAAGTTAGTTCTGACAGTTTCTGCTTGCTTTTTCAGTGTTTCTCTGGAGGAGCTCCGAGCGCCTCATCTGAGCAGTAGCTCCTCGATGGCTCTAACAGAAACGTTACAGACTGGGTGGCTTATGATAAACAACAGGAATTTCTTTCTTACCCTCCTGGAGGCTGGAAGTCCAAGATCAGGGTGCTGGCACGGTCAGGTTCTGGTGAGGACCCCCTCCCAGGCTGCAGACTGCCAGCTCCTTGCTGTACCCTCACAAGGCGGAGAGCAGATAGAGGAAGCACAGCTCTCTGGTGACTCTTGTTAAGGACACTAATCCCATTAAAGGCCTTCCTGCTTGTGACCTCATCGAATCTTCCTGAAGGCTCCACCTCCTAATGCCATCACATTGGTAGGGGATGGGAGAGGTTTCAACACATGAGTTTGGGGGAAGATACAGACATTCAGTCCATAACATGACTACTCTGCCATTTTGTTTTTTTAGAGGCTTCCCTGGTGATTCTAATGAGTAGCCAAGGTTGACATCCACTACTCTAGAATCAGAACCTTGACATCACTGCTTTCAACAGGCTTCTCAGGTGATTCTGATGTAGCCCTGCCAAGCTTTGGGATCCTGCAGATTAAATCAACTCTGGGACTGACCTCAGGAAGTCCACTTTGTCTCATCTTCCTCCAGTTCCAGGAAGCCACACAGGATGAAGAGGTCAGACTTTGTGTGGATGGCTTTCCATCTGTCCACCGCAGCACGTGGTGCCCACGGAGGGCTGTATTTGGAATTAATGAGAAGAACTGCTCCCATTTGCTTCCCAAAGGAATCAGAATGCAGATAAAGAAAGGAGCCCAGGATGTGCCAGATTCCTGCCTCCAAGTGTGACAGTTCAGTTGAAGTTTCTCAGCGGATCTCTGTTGGGACTTGGCATATGGGTCACCTACACCTGAGCTAGACTCCCCCAAAATCACTAAGATTTTGGGTCACAAGCTTTTAGGCGAGTGCAGCTTGGAGGATGAAGCTCTCTCAGCCCAGGTGAACTCCGGGGATCCCCCCTCACAGACATGAAGTCCTTGAAGAGTAAGTCATTCTGGATGACCAAGAGATTTATTTCTCTCTCACCACATGTGATCACGCACCAGGCTTTAACTGCGTCTCAGTGACCTTAACTTACTGGTGAAAACAATTACCCCCCCTCAATTCTTGTTATTACCATAGAAGATAAACAAAGGGTAAAAAATACAATAATAATAATAAATGTGTAGTAAAAAATAAAACAACAATAAATGTGTACTTTGATTCTGGTTTTGTTAAAAATTATGTCTATCTCTTTCATTTTATTTTACATTTATTTATTTAGAGAGCAAGTGATCGTGCATGAGTAGGGGAGGGGCAGAAAGAGGGAGAGAGAGAGAATCACAAGAAGACTCTGCGTTGTCAGCTTGGAGCCAACTTGGGGCTGGATCCCACAAACCGGGAGGTTATGACCTGAGCCAAACCAAAAGTCGGATGCTGAATGGACTGAGCCACCCGGGCTCCCCTAAAATTACGTATACATCTTTATACATATACTGATGTTTATATATTTGCGTGGATTTATATGTATTTTATGTGTGTACACACACAATGCTGCCTACAACAATGTTCACCAAATAGGTAGTGGGGTTGGAGGTGATTTTTGTTGTCTTTGTACTTTTCTCATTTGTTTATGATGTGAGCGTACTATTTTTAGGAAAGAAAACTGAACTCTTGGGTCAAGGGGGCTGATTATGTCTATTCATCCCTCCTCCCTCCAAATACTCCACTGAAATGACACAATGAATACTGTAAGTACTAATGAAAGCTATCAAAATAACAATAATTACTCTTAGAATTATGAGGTTTAAACTGGTGCATAGTGCTTGCTGATTAGTATCTCCATTCCCCATCCCTCCTAAAGAGAACCCTCCCCGTGCCCTGGACCCCTCTGCAGTCAGGTGGAGACTGTGGACCTTTCCTCACCATAATATCTTTAAACGAATAAACTTCTATGCACAGGACTACAAAGGAAATCATTTATATCAAAACACAGTTATCAAAATATTTAAAAAACAAATCTGTCATAGAGTGACATATGTGCTTCTATATTAGAAGATTTAGCAGTGTGTCTAATGACTACCATCATTTCAAAGTCGTGACGAGCATAAACAATTTTATGAAATGACTCCAACAATAGCTTTATGATAGCAAAATCAATATCTGGTTTCTATTGGTGATGAAGTCACCGGAATTGCTAATACTACTACTAGTTTGTTGCTTGTGTTTGTAAGTGAAGGAAATGCTACCTTGAACTCAGTGAAAATAAGGACCGTTTTTCTCATCCGGCATCATAGACCTCCAAATTTAACAAAATATGTGTTCCCGTAGATCTTTGCTTAGATCTGTTCATCTGTTTATTTGGTCTCTTTCACATTTACATTGTTCCTCAAATGTACGAGGGCCCCTGGCTGTCTGCTCATATGGAAGGGTGGGACCTAGACTAAAGTTTATCAGATGCTCTGTGATTGGCAGGAGGTCTATCCACACGGCCAATTCAGTATGACTTTTAGGAAGCCCCCAACCCATCTTTAGGTTCTTCCTCTTGAGCTGGTCAAATTCCCCAGAGATGGTTCTTGTAGCTTCTTTTTAGGAGAGTGTAATTCTCCCTGCCAACATTCTGGAATCTAGGTCAGGAAAGCAGCCTGTAAGGAGAAGGCTGGGTGGGGTATGCCAACCTTCCGTATGGAAACTTTCACTTAATCCCTCTGCTTTCCCACTGATGCCCAATCTTCCACTACATGTGGTGTTTCCCAACCCAGATGCCCTGCTGTCATAGTCGACCACTGGGCCATCCAACACAGCGGCTTCTGCCAGCTATTCAGATTTAAATTAATTAAGATAAAAAAATAAATTTCAGGTCCTCAGTTGTACTCAGTACCCACGTGGAGCTAGTGGCCAGCTACCGTATCAGATGGTGGTACGTGACATTTCTGTCATCACAGAACGGTCCATTGAACGGTGCTGTTCTAGAACAGGGGTTGGCTTTTCTTTTTTCTGTAAAGGGCCGGATAGTAAATATTTTTGGCTTTGCACGCCATATGGCCTCCTTTGCACCTGCTTAACTATGTCATTGTAGCGCGAGGGCAGCAGTAGACAATACACGGGACCTGCATTGGAATGCATGGCCGTGCTCCCACAGAACTTTATTTATGCACACTGAAATCTGACTTTCATATCATTTTCACGTGTCACACAGAATGTTATTCTTGTTTTGATTTTTTCTAGCCATTTGCAAATATAGGACTATTCTCAGGACAGGCTGTACTGAAACAGGCAGCAGGCTAGATTTGGCCCGTGGACCATGCTTTGCAGACCTCTGTCTGCATGTGTTGCCTTAAAAAAATATTCCTGTACTGACGGGGCGCCTGGGTGGCTCAGTCAGTTAAGCGTCTGGCTTCGGCTCAGGTCATGATCTCACCATTCCCGAGTTTAAGCCCTGCGTCAGGCTCTGGGCTGACAGCTCAGAGCCTGGAGCTGTTTCAGATTCTGTCTCCCTCTCTGTCTCTGCCCCTCCCCTGCTCATGCTGTCTCTCTCTCTCAAAAATAAATCAACATAAAAAAATTCCTGTACTGTTATTTTCACAGGTTCAAGGAGGAAGCAGAGGCTAAGGTGTACAGTCTTTTTAACCTAGAGGGTTTATTTTTTTTTTACCTGTTCAGGGCCTGTCTTCTCCCAGGGCCTTAAAACCTGTGAGCATAGAGCCCCGTCTCTCTCACTCACTATTCTCCACCTAGTGTCCGGTACAATATTTGACATGCAGTAGGCTCTTCATCAATAGAACTGGATGATCAGATGCTCACCAAGCCACCTTCTTTGTACAATTTGGCTTTTCACCTAGATCTGCCTTCAGGAAAGAATGTGCTGGCCATGCTGACGAGATGATTCCAGTCTTCTTAGCAATTATATTTCTTGTTATCAGTGAATACGTTGACATTCTGATTTTCCACGTCAGTCCCATGCGCTTGGTAAATGTAATCCCCCTCGGAGAGAAGACATCAGCTTCTAAGCCTGTGTAGACTCAAACAAATCTTGGTTACAGAAGTGTAAGTCTCAAATGAAATTGATAAGAAGACTTGTAAAGAGAGGGGAAGTAATCGGGTAGACATAAGTACTGGGAGGTTTTAAATGCAGGGCTGAAGCTGCCTTCTCAGCAATATAAAGGGGAGAAGGTTGCAGAATGTTAACACTTCCCAGACCATAAGAGGACAATATGCCAAGGGCATTGTCAGAAACCAAGTGCATAGCGCAACAGCCACAGGTTAGATTAAAACTATACTGTATCCCACACTCCTAGAAGATAACAGGAGAAAACCTTGGGTCTGGTGATGGCTTTTTATTTTTAATGTTTATTTATTTCTGATGGAGAGAAAGCACGAGCAGGAGAGGGGCAGAGAGAGAGGGAGACAGAGGCTCTGAAGTGGGCTTTGCTCTGATAATAATAGTGAACCCGACGCGGGACTCAAACCCAAGAACCGTGAGATCATGACCTGAGCTGAAGTCAGTCGCTCAACTGACAGCCACCCAGGCACCCCTGGTGATGGCTTTTTAAACGTTTATTTATTTATTTTGAGAGACAGAGACAGAGACAGCGTCTGTGCGTAAGTGCCCAGGGAGGAGGAGAGAGAGAGGGAGAGAGAGAATCCCAGGCAGGCTCTGAGCTATCAGTGGAGAGCCTGATGCAGGGCTCAATCCCACAACCATGAGATGAGGACCTGAGCTGAAATCAGAAGTCAGATGCTTTAACCCACTAAGCCACCCAGGCATTATTTTTCTATGTTTATTTATTTATTTTGAGAGAGAGAGGGATGATGCCTTTTTAGATAGAACACCAATGGCACAATTCAGGAAGTAAATCACTGATTAGCTGGACTTCATTAAAATTTAAAACTGCTCTGCAAAAGACAATGTGAAGAGAATGAGAAGGAGAAAATACTTGCAAAAGACATACTTGATAAAGACTGGGATCCAAGATACGCAAAGAACTTTTAAAACTGAGCAATAAGAAAACCAATCAATTAAGAAATAAATCAAAGACCCTACCAGACACGTCACCAAAGATGATATATAGGGGGCGCCTGGGCGGTTCTGTCAGTTGAAGGTCTGACTCTTGATTTTGGCTCAGGGTTGTAGGATCGAACCCTGTGTGGGGCTCCGTGCTGAGTGTGGGGGCTGCTTGAGATTCTCTCTCTCTGCCCCTCTCTCCTGATTGCACTCTTTCTCTCTCTCTCTCTTAAAAAAATAAAGATGATATATACATGGCAAGTAAGCATGTGAAGATATGTTTCACATCATACATCATTAGGGAAATGCAAAATAAATGCAATGAGACACCGTCACTCAACCCTGAGAAGGGTCAAACTCCAGAATATTGACAACACCAGATGTTGGTGAGGACGTGTAACGTCAGGAA